CCTCTCCATTCACTATCCGGTTCTCTCAAACTATTCGAGGAATTAATCCAAGCTAACGATTTCCATCAAGTATTACACGCGTCCATTAGTATTTTTAGCGTGGCTCAGAAACGAGGGATTCGTCGGCGTCGCCTCCCCGTATCAGGCTCTGGCTCGCTGTCATCGCCGGGGATGGTGGCGTTGACGTTGAGCTCGTAGACGGTGAACTTCTTCTCCTCCCTTGCCGTGGTGCAGTTGACGTAGCCGGACGCCAGCCGGAACTCCCCGGTGCCGCCGACCACCGCCAGCTCCCTCTCCTTCTTGGACGCGTCGTGCCGGCCCTCCACGACGATGGTGCTCCCGTCGTACTCCCCGCCAGTGAGCAGCATCACCATGTTCACCAGGTACACCGGGTGCCGCATGGACGCCAGCATGGCGGTGCCCTCCGCGCGGCCCACCTGCTTGGACGAGGAGCTCCGGTTCTGGGTGAGGGATTCGTCGAACGCGTACGTCTCGCCGAAGTAGTGCTCCGGCGGCAAGGACGGATTCATCGGGCCGGCACCCTTGACGATGAGCACCACCCTCTGGCCCGGCGGGCCGAAGACGTTGTGCATGTACATGCGTAGGAGAATCTAGCGCGCGTCGTCGGCGATGGATGCGGCGGCGAGGGCTAGAACGACGGCGGCGGCAAGGAGCAGGCGGTGCCTGGCCATTGGCGTGTGATTTGAGAGCAGCTAGGCTAGGAAGCTGAAATGACAAGTTGTGGTTAGGCTGCTCGCTGCTCATAGGTGGGAGTGCAGCACAAAGAAGTCCAAGAAGCTGAGATGGAAGTTTAATTCTACTACAGTAGTATGTTCAGGTTCTTGACGCGTAACAAAAAAGTACTACGTAGTAGCGAGTTAATCACGTACTACGCGAGGTGCGCAAGTTTTTAACCCAGCCTCGGCCTGAAAGCTACGCACCGCATCGTCTTCTCTCCCAAATCGATTGATCCTAAAACCGGCAAAACCAGTACAGTATTTATTTTTGTGGTAGAGATGTTGAGTTTTACAAGTGGCGACAATGGCAGACTTGTTCTAGGAATCAGCGGACAAACCGGCCGACATGTTCCTGATGCCCTCGGCGGCGGCCGGCCAGCCCCATCCATGACGACGACCAGCAGCAGCGCCGTTCGGTACCGTCGCGTGCACGTCCAGCTCCAGCACCATGTACACCGCTGACACGTCCTCGGCCGACCTCCACACCACGTGCCCGGTGGCCCGCCGGAGCTGCCCTGTCCCGCCGACCACCGCGAGCTCCCTCACCTCCTGGGAGATGTCGTCGCGGCCGGCGATGACAAGGGTGCTCCCGTTGTACGGCCCCTCGGTGATCACCACCGTCACGCTCACCGCCAGCACGGGGGCGTCCATGGCGGCCAGCACGTACGTGCCCTGTGCCCGGCCGACGGCCTTCGACGTCAGGCTAGGGCCCTCCGTCAGGAGGTCGTCGATCACTGCCGTGTCGCCGAAGTAGCTCCCCGGCATGGACGGGTGCGGCGGGCCCTGGCCCCTGACGACCCGCACCGCTGTCTGCCCCGGCCCGCCGATGATGTCGTGCATGTAGAAGTGTAGGTGCACGAGGCGGCAACGGGCGGCGGAGGACGGCACGGCCATGAGTTGAACGACGGCAACCTAGAGGAGTAGGAGCAGGCGGGGCCTTGAAGTGGAAGTAGCCATTGTTGTGATGGGTTGGAGAAAGCCGAGATCGCACGAAAAAGCGTTGCAGAGGCCGGTATTCAGAAAAAAAAAATGAAACTCCATGGGCACTAGCACCCACGGTTTTCTTGATATAGAAGAAGCATCCCTCATGAGAATTCCAGAAATTCGTCCCCGACGTGGATCGAACTCTGGTCGTTAGGTTTACAATCATGCGCCCCCAACCACGGTATTCAGGTCGCTCTGAATCCAACCCGTCCAACTAGCTCGAGGATGCGTGCCGTAAGATGTTTTGCGATTTACTGCCTAGCCTGAATGGCTGTATATCATCGTATTTAAAAGAAAGCCCATGTGTGGTGGGACATGTTGCAGAAGCAGTATTTAGTGCGAATATGGCTATACTTAACCGATTGCACGCACAACTCAAATCTGATCCATGCATCGTCATGCACATCACATCAGGCTAGTACACATGCTGTCACATATGCATCTCCAATCTCTCTCTTCTCTATTCTCTTTCTCAAACAAATCCATCACTTTTATTTCACCTTTTCTAACTTAAATTATTTATATCGTTTTAACCAATATTCCAATTTCAAAACAAATTATTTCTGTATAATCATGACACAACGACCTTTAGAATAAGATTAATATTGAATATATTTCAACTACTTTGAATTTTTAAATGAGTGAAATCTGTAATCGAAACGAGTGAAATGGATGAAATTTGTAATTGAAACGAGTGAAATCAGTTATTGAAATTAGTGAATTAGTGAATCAATTTTTGAAATGAGTGAAATCTGTTATTTGAAACGAGTGAAATGAGTAAAATGAGATGAAATCAATTTTTTAAATGACTGAAATCTATTATTGAAACGAGTGAAATGTGTTACATATACTATTGAAACAAGTGAAATGAGTGAATAATGTTATCAAAACAAGTGAAATGAGTGAAATCTGCTTTTGAAAAGAGTGAAATATGTTATTGAAACGAGTGAAATGTGTTACTAAAAAATTTAAACTAGCCAAAATATATCCAAAAATGATCTTGGTCTAAAGGTCCTTTTGTCAGGAGTTCAAATATATAAAAAGTTTTGAAATCAAAATATTAGTTTAAAAGATGTAAATGATTTAAGTTAGGAAAGGTGAAATAAAAAGGATAAATTTGTTTGGGGGAGAGAGGAGAGAAGAGAGATGCACATGCCGATATGACACCATGTGTACCAGCTGATGTGATGTGCATGGCGATGTATGGTGGAGACTTGGATTGTGCGTGCAATGAGTTAGACAAAGTCCAGGTCCGTCTGAAGGAGGCACCCGGTGCAACATCCCTTTTGGCAGTGCATCAATTTAGTAATTATTTTTTTAAAATAAGTACGTAATAAATTGCTACCAAATTTATGGTTACTTTAGGAAAATCAAAGAAATGTGCTGATGGTATAGATACATAACATGGCCCAGAAAAAAACCAAAGGTACCCGATGTAATACCCCCCTTAGCATTGCGTCAGTTTGGAAACTTTTTGTTAAAAAGAGTACTCCCCTGTCCTATAATACGAGACATTCTTACATCCAAAATACTCACATGTTAAATGTAATAGCGTTTTATATTATAAGATAGAGGGAGTAGTTAATTGCATACTACTGGCATGATTAGTTTGGGAAAATGAAAGAAACATGCAAATTGTAAGGCATTTGGACGACGAGATCTGTGGGAGGTTGTCTTTTTGGAAAACAATACATAAAAAATCATGTTTTAAATTTTCAAAAGAATTCTCAAAAATCATACGCATTCATATGGATGTATTCTACATGTGTAAAGTTTGACGACAAAATACAATATGATGAGAGCTACACAAAAAACACAAGTTCATGAACTCTTAATAAGGAACAATGAACTCTTAATAAGGAACAATGCGTATACGGTTCACTATTTTCAAAATTATGATTGTTTCTTTTTTGTGTATCTCTCACCATAATGTATATCATCTTTAAAAAAGCGTTGCAGAGGCCGGTATTCAGGTCGCTCGCTCGAGATCGCAGGCTTAATTGCGGAGTAGTTGTGGAGTCCTAGCTCGTAGGGTCAGAAGAATTGAATACGAACAGAACAGAGGATGAACCATCCCTGTCTGACGAAAAAAATGAATACGAACAGGACTAGCAGCTGCTTCAGTATCCAGCCTCTTTCAGAGTAAAATATGAGCACCAAAAATGCACACAAGAACAAAGCAATTTGTTTGTTCGATATATGCTTTCTCACCGAGACCAAGAGCGACCCATTGAGCCTGGCCGTCAGCGTCAGCTGAAAACTACTCCCTCCGTTCCAAAATAGATGACCCAACTTTATACTAACTTTAGTTAGATGACTCAACTTTGTACTTTGTATTAAAGTTAGTATAAAGTTGAGTCATCTATTTTGAAAGAGGGAGTAGTCTCTAATACCAGCAGCTTGGAGCACTGCAATTTAGCCGATGCTAATCCTCTGTTCTAGCTGAGACTAACAGCACAGATTCGTAGCGCTATAACAGAAACTGCCCTTATCACGCAAATGGAAGCCCTCGCAACAATTTGTAGTAGATAAACAGGTGGTGGACATGTATCTGCAGCCTCTGCTGCTGATAGATTGACTGTTTTCGCAAATACAAGCTATTCCAGTTTACTCGGAACATCCCACGAGCACATAAAATTCTTCGGACCGACAAAAAAAGAAAAGCCAAAACTTATGTCAAGTCTGACTTACATATGCCTATAGCAACAGACAAATCAATACAATCAAAAATGGTATTACATGGTACACATGAGGACAGGTTGCTAACTACGGGGAATGTCGAGCGCGGTGGAGTCATTGAGCACCTTGCGGGCGCGCCAGTAGATAGCATTTGATGTTTCTGATGTTCCCGCCTGTTTACATAATACAAATGTCTCAACCAGTAAGCAATTGATTTTGATGCAGGTAAACGAGGAAAAGAGTCTAATTGCCAATATGTAACCATACCGTCAACTCCATATTGTAGTACTTCCTCCATAGTTCCCTTTCTTGTGGATAGAGGCTGATTGCTGAATCATAGAGCTTGCGCGCGTTTACAAGGCCATCATTGTTTCCGATTGATGCAAGGCTAGCTTCCAGCTCTATGCAGAACTGGAAGAACTTAAGACTGGGGCGCGGTAAAGCCAAAAATCTGCATGGACACGTGAGTGTCAGAAACATGCCCCCTCAATGTCACATACAACCCACTAACCGATCTTAGGTCTCCCAACAACGAAATATCGACTAAACTCGTCTCTGTTAGACCTTCAATGCATGAGTTCATTGTAATGAAAGGGGACAATGAAGACTGATAATATATCTGAACTAAGTACAAGAAATATTTCTGAAGGAACCTCTCTGCGCTTATGACTATATAAAACCGTTAATTCATAGCATGTTAGGCTCAATGTCAAAACACTGAGAAATTGCTAGAAATGCTCTGCTCATTTTACTCATGTAAATGAGCAAGGCAACTCAACATCAGCATTGCAAATGGTATCACTGAAGGACCATTAATTTCATACCTCTTATACATTTTCCTAGCTTGCTTAATACCATCTTTCTGCAAAACCCATCCAACAAAAGCTGAAGAGACGGAAGCTCCACAATCACTCCCACCAGCTGAACTTAATGATAGCGTTGCACATTTCACCAGCTTTTCGAAATATATCTTTTCATGAGAAAACAATTTCATCGCCTGCAATGCAATTACAAGCAATTTCATCACATTTACAGACAAGTAGTCCAATCAGTATAACAATATGTAAGATATTGACATAGAAAGTAAAACGCATATCAACGAGACAAATGAAATAGAAGACAAAGAGCATATGCCATACTAAAGTTGATATAAAAGTAATAAATCCATAACCATAATCACACATCCACACTAGAACAGAGGAGCAAAAGTTAATTTTTTTGGTAGGATAGGTCCAGAGACAACGGAATAAATTTCTGGAAACTAGAGAGCCATGATCATTAGGAAAGCACAAGATAAGGCTAGACATACCGTATGCCAGAGTCCCTCAGCCTTGGTTATGGATAACTTCGGAAGTACAATATTAAATAAATCAAACAGAGAACTTAGATTCTCCTCACTAAAGGAAGCACTGCCGGTAGCAGTAGCAAGTGACTTTATCTCTATAGAAGCTCTCAAGTTCCACAGATTTGCAGCCTGTGAAAGAGGACCACTGCAGAGCTTTTCTGCAAGATTCTTAGCTTCCTCCAATCTTTCAGGTGCTTCCTCTGATCTTCCAAGTTTCAAACAAAGTGAGACATACTGGCAGGCAAGATCCTCGGAGAGACATCCACACGATTCAGCATTTTCAAAAACTTTCAGTATAGCTGAAGTGAATTCTGAAGCATCAAAATCAGCATCATGGAATAATGAGATGGAGTCCTCTCTGTCGGAGAATACAACACCCAACCAGAAGTTTGCATACAGGGAGTACATTTTGGAAGTAGGCAACTTTCTGACAGCTTCATCATACACCTAGAATCAAAGACACGTATTAAGAACATTCAAAATATTGTGTTCAATGAGCAATCAGTGACACTGATATATTGGGAAAAAATACTGTGAGATGGTGTATCAAAATCAGCGCTGTTTGTGCTGAGTTTAAGGTGCTACCAGCTATAGGGTAAGCAATCTACTGTATGGACAAGTCCAGCAGAAATATCAAATTTTGAGCAACACTTTTTATGACAAGCATATAGTGATACTACTTACCATGAACATCAACTTAGCACTAATCAAGTCATGGGCAAAACTACCATCCAGAAAGCATTTCATTACAGGAACAGATGACCAAGGCACATTAATCAACAAGTATGTGCCTTTTTCATCCGAAGGAATTCAAAAAGATTTACTTGCATTGATAATTTGTGATGGAGAATAAGTAATAAAGTGACGGCACAATTTTTCACCTGAA